CTGCTGCTTTCAAAAAGCAATTATAGTTACAGACTACGTGTGTGCACGTTTGGTAGTTGCCTTATGCATTTGATGAGCGTGCGAGCTGTTGGATTTTGCTTGAAAAGCTGTCTGGTTGACTTTTCACATGGGCCAATAAAAGGTAGCGGATTTTTACAGGAAGGGGGTAATTGTGGGTGTGACCTGGTTGTAATGAGGTAAAAACCTCAACCGATAGCTGGACTTCCCGAACACCGTCAACGGTCACACCACTGACAATATCGTTACCACCACCACAACTATCGCAAGCATCCATCATCATCAGCGTTATCACTGCCCACACACACACCGGATGCTACTGTGGTTCCCCCCAGAATAAGGTAGGTTAGGTAAGTTGTACCCCACCAGGACATCACACAAGCGGTAAACACCCAGTGACACAAAGTGCCACCATGTGGATGAGGATCACCCGTGGAGAGGTCCCGGAAATCCCGTTCAGCCGTTTGGCCATATTTAGGGTTTGGCTATATTTAGGGCCCCCGGAAATAGCCAGGATGGGGCTTCAAAATAACTAAACATTGCATCCCACGAGGATAGGGGTGGGGGGGGGGGGTGGGAGATGCTTATTGCCTACCCAGAATAAGACCTCCCCCAAAAATAGGGCCTAGCGGGATTTTCAGGATTCTTTCAATACTTGTAAAAGCCCTACCCCTAAAATAAGCCTTAGGCAGCTATAATGACAGGGCTGCCGCCGAATGGTCAATCGGAGTGCAAACGCCTCTAGAGCACACTTGATAATGATTGGATGTGGTTCATAATTCAGGGCGGAATTCAAACATATGACGATGTTACAGAAGAAAATGATATATATGACTGTATATGAATAAATGTAGCATTCCGAATAGGAGAAAATGTAGATTTTTGTATATGAAAAAAAAAAGAAATAATAACACATCCCCAAAAATAATCCATAGTACATTTTTTAAAGCAAAATTTGGTGCTTTATTAATATCCTGACCCAAACAGGGGATATCAACAGGTCACGTGACAGTCTAATATTTCAGGGGGTGATAGATAGGCTGCATGCAGTCGTGGGATCTAGGCTGCATGCAGTTGTGGGACCTAGGCTACTCTCTCGTGGGACGTAGGTGGGTTGGGGTTAGGGCCAGTTTTAGATGTTCTGTGGTCATTAGAAGCATCAGAAAACGGGAAAACCCAGTCTTCCCACTCTCTAAAATGTTGGACTGTCCCGTGACGTCATCTGGGGTAAGATACAGAACCAAAAATTTATTATGAGACCCGGTCTTATTTTCTGCGAAAAACTGTGTACTCCCCCAGGTACCTGTTTCTAAACAACAACCCCTTGGTGGTGACCCCCGTGTTCCAGTTTGGCAGCCAGGTGCTTCAGTTGGTAGACCTCTCACACTGTGACCTGAAGGGAGTGCCGGGTCCTTTCCCTGCCTCCGTGACTGACCTTAGACTGGGCAATAATAAGATCATGCAGGTATGTGTTTGTTGTTGTTTGTTGTTGTTGTGTATCTCTTCTTTTGTTTATTCTTTCTTTATTTATTGTTTCTTTCCGTGCCTTCTGTTCTTTGTTTTCATCTTCACGTTCTTTTTTTAAATTTTTATTTTTATTTTCTCTCTCTCTCTCTCTCTCTCTCTCTCTCTCTCTCTCTCTCTCTCTCTCTCTCTCTCTCTCTCTCTCTCTCTCTCTCTCTCTCTTTTTTTTTTTTTTTCTTATGTCTTTCTTTCGATTTTCATTCTTTTTTCGTCCGTTTGTGTGTGTGTGTGTGTGGTCCTTTTCTCTTTCTGTATTTATTTTATCATTTGTCGTTCTTTCTGTCCTTTTGTTGCATTGTGTTCTTTCTTTCTTTCTTTCTTTGCGTTTCTATTATCTTCTTTCTTTATTCTTTCATCTATCTTGATTCTTTCTTTATTTCTTTCTTTCTTTCTTTCTTTCTTTCCTTTCTTTTCTTTATTCTTTCCTGTCTTTCTTTCTTTCTTTTTTTTCCTTTCCTTTGTTTTTTCTTTCTTGTCTGTCTTTCTTTTTCTTTCTTTTCTTTCTTTTCTTTCGTTCTTTCCTTTCTTTCTTATTCTTTTCTTTCTTTCTTTCTTTCTTTCGTTCTTCCTTTCGTTTCTTTCTTTCTTTCTTTTTCTTTCTTTTTCTTTCTTTCTTTCTTTCTTTGTGTTCCTTCTTTCTTTCTTTCTTTCTTTCTTTCTTGTCTTTATTTTCTTTCGTTCTTTCTGTCTTATCTTATCTTTCTTTCTTTTCTTTCTTTCTTTTCTTGTCCTTTCTTTCTTTCTTTATCTTTCTTTCTTTCTATCTTTCTTTCGTTCTTTCTTTTTTCTTTCTTTCTTTTCTTTCTTTCTTCTTCATTTGTATATCAATCTTGTTAGCTTGTATTTCTTTACTTGGTAACTGGGTCTTCTCTTCTGTTTCGATCTTTTTCTTTCTTTTTTTGTTTTCGTTATTTTGCTCTTTGTTTTTTCAAGTTTGTCTTTGTTGTCCTTTTTTTTTCTTCTTTCTTCATTCTGTGTTTCTCCTATTTTAATTAACAACTTTTACTATTTTGACCACATTAAAATTCATAATACACTCTTAAAATTACTTTTTTTTTTAAAGTATCGAAGGTAAGAGCGAGAAGCTAAAAGCTAAACAGCGATACAAGTGGGAGGAAAACATGAACAGATGGACTAACAGCAGTACAACAGTCATGAGTGATAGAGCGTGATAGTGATTCATTGAGGCCACCCTTCATTGTTGAAACGCCAAGTGACTGATAGTCAGATTAATGACAATGACAACGATAATGGTGGTGATGATGATGTTGTTGATGATGATAACGATGATGGTGACCTTGATGTTGGTAATGATGATGTTACGATGACCAATATGATGATGATGTTGACGAAAATGATGATGACGATGTAGAGTTGTAAACGAGGATACATTTGGGGGCTTTATATGCTGACAGAAGATTCCTCAATTTCAGGTCCTAGGCTCTGATCTGCTCAACATCACAGACCTCCAGTTACTGACTCTGAATGACAATGAGCTCCACTTTTTAGCAGACGGCAGCCTGACCCACCTGACCCAACTTCAAGAGGTTTGTTTTTGTTTCCCAGTTGGAATGAGAAGTTAAACAAGAGACCCTTTTCCACGCCCTTTAGGTGTATTGGGCATATAATCTTTTTCTTCTGTTCTTAACTTCTGGAATCAGGGCTACCACTGCTGGGGGTTTTCCCTTCAGATCTGGGTTTTTATTTGACGCCTTGGGAAGATCTGGTTTTTTTTTTTCTTTAAATATATTCTTATATAAAAGTGGTAAATGTTTCGTTTCGTAACTATAAATTGTGTACACTTTAACAATCTGGGTTTTGTATTTTTGTTGTTGTTCTTTGTCTGTGTATTGCTTGGGTTTATGTTTAGCTAAGCTGGGTTTTTCATAAAAATCCCATTCGCAGCCCTGCCTGGAATACCTCCCGACGTCAGGGCAGGAAGAAATCTCTGGAACAAGCCCTTCTTTTCGCTTCGTATAAGTTCTTTTCAGTGTCTCTGATATTTCTGCGGTCCATATTCTGTGTGGTCGACCCCTGAATCTGTTACCGCGGTATCTGTATAGCATTGCTCTCAGTGGGGCCCTGTCTAATGCCAATCTTGTTACATGACCAGACCATTTGATTTGTTTCTACCTATAAAGTTCAGTATTGGTTCTGTGCCGACTCTCCTTCTGATATCCTCGTAGCATAGTACGTAAACATTTCATTTCTATGTGTAGTTCTCGACCTAAATTTTATAGTCCAATGCGCACATGACGAGTGATGTAATTAACAGCACACCAGCCACATTTACTTCCCAGGACTTTACCTGGTACCCATTTAAAGTTGGATCGACCAGGAAGCCACAGCCATTTTTAAAAGGTACGGAATTTGAACCCACTGCTTCGGATTCTCAGCGAGCTTCTAGTCGCTACATCATTGTGTGTCTTTTTCCCAATTGTAGGAGGCGATTGATTAATTATGGATATTTTCTTCGATGTCGGACTGCCGCTGCCCGAGAGGCGAGAAACAAACAGTCTGCATACAAATAAATCACACCTGTAAAACTGATATGCATGCAAAACAAGTTCCAAAACACGACTCAAGTCGATAAATGGACGTTAGGTCGTGAGTGCAGGGACTGGCCAGCTGGTGCTGCAGAATCAGAAGTTCAACAAATGATTCATGACAATTCCCGCCCAAGTGATATGATTATCTATATACAGATGTCTCTATGGTGAGGGGCAGACGAAGTGCATGGGGGTTCATAGCAAAAGCGAATGGACGTCACTTAGTGCAACAAAGTCTGGCGTATGATATCACAACGTCTGGTTTGAGAATTGAGGTGGAGGCAGTCACTGCAGCATTACGCTGGTTTGAGAATTAGCTATTCACACATGACACAATTGTAACTGATTCACAGATCATGTTGAGAAAGGTGGTGACAGGCATGCTCCGTGCAGAGTGGCAAGCATCACTTCAGAGATCCCGGGTAGTTAGTGATCTTTTGATTTTTTACTCCAGGTCGTGCCGGTGTGTTAAGAAACAATCAGGCAGAAAGACTAACCGGTTCTGTACCACTTGTGAGGACCCTTTGGGAGCGAGTGAACAGTGCAGATGCGCAGATAGATAATTACAGTCTAAGGAGAATGGCGCTGCGGTGAGTTACCAGGGGGATCTGGCAGACGCTCAACACTCAAGGGAAAGGCGAGACAGATATATAATCAGACAGTTACCGGTAGTATCAGAATTGATACTCTTCGCTTGATGCTGAATGTGGGGACTAGGCGTTTATGGGAGTGTCATGAGTGCTGTGATGTTGATTCTTAATTCAACATTCTCCATTAGGTGGTAAAGGGCAGAGAATAAGACAAGAAGGAGGAGGAGAGTAAAAAGGAGAGGAAAAAAGAAGAAGAAGAAGAAGAAGAAGAAGAAGAAGAAGAAGAAGAAGAAGAAGAAGAAGAAGAAGAAGAAGAAGAAGAAGAAGAAGAAGAAGGAGGGAGGAGGAGGAGAAGAAGAAGAAGAAGAAGAAGAAGAAGAAGAAGAAGAAGAAGAAGAAAGAAGAAGAAGAAGAAGAAGAAGAAGAAGAAAGAAGAAGAAGAAGAAGAAGAAGAAGAAGAAGAAGAAGAAGAAGAAGAAGAAGAAGAAGAAGAAAAAGAAGAAGAAGAAGAAGAAGAAGAAGAAGAAGAAGAAGAAGAAGAAGAAAAAGAAGAAGAAGAAGAAAAAGAAGAAGAAGGAGAAGCTATAATCTGTTTAGCTTCCACAGCATGTAGGTTCATAGAGAAGTGCGTGAAGACTGATACTAGACTAGAATTGTACAGCTTCTTTAGTTGTTTTTGTTTATTCAATGTTATGTCTCAAATAAGTACAAGCCTATCTGAACATATTGTGCCTTTTGCCAGGTGTGGCTAAGACACAACAACCTGGTCTACATTCCCCGGAACTTGCCAGACAATGTCCGCAAGATCCACGTTGACTCCAACAACATCCAACAGATAGAGGTGGGTCTCTTCAGCAACATGTCCCACCTTGACTACCTGACAGTAGAGAACAACCAGATCAACGGCATCCAACCTAACACTTTCACCGGGCTTCGCTTCTTGAACACAATCAATTTTCAGGGAAACCAAATCCGGAGCTTGGAGACGGACACTTTCGTGGATTTGGGAAGCTTGAGTACGATTCTGTTGTCAAATAATCCTTTGAAAAGAATCCAGGATGGGGCTTTTAAGAATCTTGGGAACTTAACACAGTTATTTCTGTGCTACATTGACGAAGATGATTTCAAGCTGGAGGGAAATTTCCTTCAGGAAATGCTGCGCCTGGAGACTCTGCAAATGATCAACAGTCCTGGACTGGTTGAGGACTTCATGGTGATGATAAATGATTCAGCGTTCACTCCAGTTCCTCTAGAGAAACTGACCCAGTTAGATCTAAGTTACAACAACCTTCATTGGGTGAGTCCCCGGATTAAAGAGATGTTTCCCAATCTGTTGTCAATGCCCTTAGACGGAAACCCGTTGAGATGTTCCAAGCAGCTAAAGTGGTTGAGGGATTGGATGGTGTCCAGTGAAGTATCTTTTCACAACCATAACGAGATTGTATGCGAGACGCCAGCGAGGCTGAAGAATCGAGCGATAAGAAGCATCCAAGATCACGAATGGGCAGACGAGAAAGAAGCGGAAACTGCGCCTGCTGACGTAGCCAATAGCGGAAAAGAGAACGCAACGCTGAAAAATAAACAAGGAGAAGCTAATACAGAAGAAGAAGTTCAAAGAGATGCAACAGAAACCAGAACAAAGAAAGTTCAAAATCTGCAAGGAATGGCCAAAAGATCTAGAGATGAAAAAGATCAAGGTAAAATCAAAGGGAAAGGTCGCAAGGGAAAGAAGCGAGGAAATGATAGCAAGGGAGATAAGAAAGAGAGAGGGAAAACAGCGAAAGGAAAGAAAAACAGCGAAGGTTAAATTCAACAAGATGTAATTATAGCAACCAAATATATTTGACATTATTGTTAACTTTAAATAAGAATTCAGTGTGCAAAATTGTTATTGTGCATTTATTATTGTGTAGCCATCTTCACTTTAGTCCAAGGGCGTGTGGGTTTAATGAAAGAGTTGATAGATTGGCTGGCTCACATAAATCAAAGTCGTCCTCATGTTGGATGCAATTTTTTGTTATTTGAGGCCCTGTCCTGGCTTCTACCGGAGGCCCTAAATATAGCTGGGGCATGAATGTGGCCTAGTCATAGATATGGGCTAGCGGCTGAAAGGGGTTTCTGGGACCTCTCCACGGGTGATCCTCATCTGCATGGTGTCACTTTGTGTCACCCAGTGTTTATCGCTTGTGTGAGGTCGTACTGGGGTACAACTACCAACCAAACAACCAGTAGTACTACATTAGTTGACTGCCAACTGCCATCCGAATCAGCGTTGCCACTTTTCTTTGACAAAAAACATCCAAAACGGAGTAAAAAATTATCTAAATTTGCGTGAAAAAATCTAGAAAAAACATCCAAATGGAAAGAATCACAAATTACATAGCAATTGATATGACTTACCCTATAGAATCATGTCCTCGTCTTTACTGATGTCTGCCTTACAAGATCCACAGGATAAACTTAGCTTGGATAATGAAGTTGAAGCTTCAGATCCAAAATGACTCTGGTATGCTTTAGCTGTTCCAATTTCCTTTAATACCTAATCAGGCAGCTGATAAGTGGAACAGCCTTTACCTACTCTTATCAGGCCGAATTTTATTGTCAAGATAGCATTTAAGAGGTCAAATTTCATCCTGTTTCTTAGGTTAGATTTGATAAATTCACTCTAAATGAAAAAACTTCTAGAAAGACATCTACCATCTAAACGTCAAAAACGCCAAATGCAAGGGGAAAAAAATCTCAATCTGGATGTAAGACATCCAAAGTGGCAACTCTGATCCGAATATGGGACGCAATTTTTCAATATTTTAAAGCCCCACCATCGCTGTTGTCAAAGGCCCTAATACAACCCAACGGTTGAACAGGTTTTCAGGGACTGGCGTCTCAGTGATTCTTATCCTAACGGTGGCACTTTGTGTCACCGGGTATTAATCGCTAGTTGTGGGGTTTACCTCGAGCATCTGCCAAAACCTCTCGTCCCTCCCCCTGCATCAATCTCACCAGACAGTGGTGATCCATCTGCTCCTCCGAACTATACACGCTCTCCCACAAGACACTAACTACAGCTGCCTTATCATGTGAAAGAAGAAGAAGAAATCTATAATTGTACAATATTATTAAATCATAGATTAATTCCCTGTCTGGTCCAAACTTTAGGTAACATTTGTATCTGTCTGTGGTCCAAATAGAGACCTACAGTCTCGTTAAGCAGATAGTGGAGTGAGTCACTGCAAAACGCTCCTGTGTGTGCAGTTGTTGTTGGCAATGAAAGAGCTGATAGACTGACATGTTCTGCATTAAGTGCAGATGACTGTGCCATGAATCACGCAGACATTGACAATGCCCTTAGAGAGATAGGGCGTTCCGAGGATTTGGGAAGCAAAGTGTCCACATCACTGCTAAGAATACGAGAACTGGGAGTAAAGATCGGCACATCCAAGCATGAGAAGCACACCGGACGCACAGCAAGTCTTGTCAACCAGCACAGAATTGACACTATTAATCGTAAGACGCTGATGAATATGTTAAAGGGAGAATCTGAGCACCTATGTATGTGCCCGGAGTGCTATGAGGATAATCCAACTCATAACTCCCTCACTGCCCTAAAGTTGAACGGGGCTTACTGAAATGTCCGCATGTGGGATTCTCATCTTTGAGGTGTCAATCCTGTGGACTACACTCCTGGGGGGAACAAACCACCCGCCTGCATTATCAATGTCCATACATTTCTGTTTGCTTCTGCTCCCATTAGCTTATATAGAGAGTTGTCGTTACATGTTCACTGTGTGTCATCCAGAGATGTTTACTTAATTATATATCAAAATCATACAAGTTTGTGCATTTTTATTTTTAATCACACCATTATCATGACGATGATCAAAATCGCAATCATCATCACCACAATCACTATCACCAGTCATTATCACTACAATCATTATTATGACAATCATCATCACCACCACAATCATTATCACAACAACAACAATCATCATCACTACAATCACCATCACAACAACAATCATCATCACTACAATCACCATCACAACAACAATCATCATCACTACAATCACCATCACAACAACAATCATCATCACTACAATCACCATCACAACAACAATCATCATCACCACAATCATTATCACAACAACAACAATCATCATCACTACAATCACCATCACAACAACAATCATCATCACTACAATCACCATCACAACAACAATCATCATCACTACAATCACCATCACAACAACAATCATCATCACTACAATCATTATTATGACAATCATCATCACCACAATCATTATCACAACAACAATCATCATCACTACGATCAATATCACCACATTCATTATGACAACAATCATTATCACCACAATCACAACAATTGTTATCACCATAATTATCATGACAACAATCCCCACAATCATCATCACCACCACTTCAACATCACCATAATTATCATGACAACAATCCCCACAATCATCATCATCACCACCACTTCAACATCACCAAAATTAGCCTGTCGTATTCTGCTCTTTATCTCTGTGATACATCTGCCAGCTCTTGATACTTCTGTTGAAACCATGCAAGGCGGTCTGCTGACATATTTCCCACTGCTGGGATCAACCCCAGCACCTTGTAATTACGATGTGCGTTTGCGGTGCCCAACCCACAGACGGCACACCCTGCAGTGTCTATATGTTTTATTCACACATACACACACATATGCGCAACACACGAACACACACACGAGAAAAAAGGTAACACACAGCTACTGAATTGAATATAATTTTGCCATTATTGTAACATTAAAAACCTTTGTGATTCTTCTTTTCTTTCTTTTTGTCATTTTACTGATACCAGGTTGTAGCCCAGTGTCGTGGTTTTGTCGTCTCACTGATACCAGGTTGTAGCCCAGCGTCGTGGTTTTGTCGTCTCACTGATACCAGGTTGTAGCCCAGTGTCGTGTTTTTGTCGTCTCACTAATACCAAGTTGTAGCCCAGTGTTGTGGTTTTGTCGTCTCACTGATACCAGCTTGCAGCCCAGTGTCGTGATTTTGTCGTCTCACGGATACCAGGTTGTAGCCCAGCGTCGTGGTTTTGTTGTCTCACGGATACCAGGTTGTAGCCCAGTGTCGTGGTTTTGTCGTCTCACTGATACCAGGTTGTAGCCCAGCGTCGTGGTTTTGTCGTCTCACTGATACCAGGTTGTAGCCCAGTGTCGTGTTTTTGTCGTCTCACTAATACCAAGTTGTAGCCCAGTGTCGTGGTTTTGTCGACTCACTGATACCAGCTTGCAGCCCAGTGTCGTGATTTTGTCGTCTCACGGATACCAGGTTGTAGCCCAGCGTCGTGGTTTTGTTGTCTCACGGATACCAGGTTGTAGCCCAGTATCGTGGTTTTGTCGTCTCACTGATACCAGGTTGTAGCCCAGTGTCGTGGTTTTGTCGTCTCACTGATACCAGGTTATAGCCCAGTGTCGTCACACTGATACCAGGTTGTAGCCCAGTGTCGTCACACTGATACCAGGTTGTAGCCCAGTATCGTGGTTTTGTCATCTCACTGATACCAGGTTGTAGCCCAGTATCATGGTTTTGTCATCTCACTGATACCAGGTTGTAGCCCAGTGTCATGGTTTTGTCATCTCACTGATACCAGGTTGTAGCTCAGTGTCGTCACACTGATACCAGGTTGTAGCCCAGTGTCGTCACACTGATACCAGGTTGTAGCCCAGTGTCATGGTTTTGTCATCTCACTGATACCAGGTTGTAGCCCAGTGTCATCTCACTGATACCAGGTTGTAGCCCAGTGTCGTCACACTGATACCAGGTTGTAGCCCAGTGTCGTCACACTGATACCAGGTTGTAGCCCAGTGTCGTCACACTGATACCAGGTTGTAGCCCAGTATCATGGTTTTGTCGTCTCACTGATACCAGGTTGTAGCCCAGTGTCATGGTTTTGTCATCTCACTGATACCAGGTTGTAGCCCAGTATCGTGGTTTTATCATCTCACTGATACCAGGTTGTAGCCCAGTGTCGTCACACTGATACCAGGCTGTAGCCCAGTGTCGAGGTTTTCTGTATCTGTCTTGCGCTCCTCTGGTAGCTTGAGTGATGGATTTGCTCATTGTTTTGCAGGTTTTATCTACATCATTTATCCATCTCTTTATTGGTCTTCCTCTCGCCTTCCTCCCTGATGTTCTTCTGTATAATGTCTCATATGCAGTTTGATCTGCCTAGATGGTTGAACCATTTCATTCTTTGTCTGTCGACATAATCCAGACATGTTCTTATTCAGACTTTCTCTCTAATGCTGCAGTTTGTAATCGTGTCTCTTCTTGTGTTGTTAGTGACCTTGTGGAGACAGCGCATTTCACATGTAGTTTTTTCTGTTCTAGTGTCTTATTAATTGTCCATGTTTGATACTGAAAACATAAAGTAGGGATAAATATCCAATTAATCATTTGTTGTTTTGCTGGAAGGGAGACATTTGGGTGTCAAAGCAGCGGGGCTAACTGGTAGATGACAGTATTTGCCTTCTGTACTCTGGCTTCTATAGCTCTATTGAGTCCGCCATCATCCGTAAATATGCTTTCTAGATATTTGAATTCTCATTTGATTTTAGTACTGTTAATATGAATGTTCATATTAATTTTCCAACCAATCCTTATTTCCTTAGTTTTCGTGGTGTTTATTCTCATATTATACCTTTGTAATTTAATGCATTTTAAACTGCATTTTATAAAATGAAGAATATCTTGTGCAATATATCCTTGTCATTGAGAGTTAGAAAAAGAATTCTTGCTT